ATCAAACAAGAAAAAGAACTGCGATCATATGCAGTCTTTATTTTTTGCATTAGCAGGGCTCCTAGAAATCCCAGTCAAGGACTGTGACCCCATTGTACTAGGTACTGTACAAATACAGAGCAAAAAATGGTTCTCAGCCGAAGACAGTTTATTGTCTAAGACAAGAAACAACATGTAAAGGCAAGCAGGCAGACAGGTGTGGGTACACAATGAAGCAATAAGATCATATTGGTCATTGTAACAGGCAGCAATCTCAGAACACCAGTGGCTTAAACACTGTTGACTTCTTATAAACAATGCAACATAGGAGGGTTTGAAGGAAAGACCCAAAGAAGAATGTTGAAGTAGCTTTGTTGTAGATGTTTAGGGAGAGCTCCTGGCGAGCAAAATGGAGAGCATGGGAGAAAGTACAATGGTGCCAGTTTGGAAATTTAACAAGGGAATGGCTAATATTTTACCTGATTGGGTTGTTAAAAATACCTAAGATACTTTACTCTGGAGTAATTTGACTGATTAATTCACAGGATGAAAACAGTCACAAAATGGCAAACTCAGGTCACTGGTCAAACCTGGCTAATACCTGGCTACTTTTGAGGAAAGTCAGAAACTGCAATCTGAATACACTCAGAATGAAGCAGTTGCCGTGTCCTGTCCCAATACGACTCAAGATTTTATGACCTAAAGGGATCCTTATAATCAGCCATCTGACTTGTATTAATGCAGACCAAAACATCTCTCCCAATGACACCTGCTGATGTCTGGGTTAGGGGGTTTAGGTTGTAGCCGTGTTGGTCTAAGGACATAGGCAGACAAGGTTCCTTGGGTGAGTTTGATATCTTTTATTAGACCAACCCAAATGTTTGGAGAATAGTTATTAAGCAAGCTTTCGGGTTCAAAAACCCTTCGTCAGGCTAAGGAAGCTTCAGCAGTTGGTGTGTGCTCTTCCTGGATGGAATGAAAAGTAAAGAAGCCAGGGGCTGGGCTGGGCTGGGCTGGGCTGGGGAGTCAGTTGCCAGGCAGATTGTAATGTATCAAAAATTCAATGTCTATGTTTAGTCCCTGATCTCTAGTATCCAGCAGGTTGATGAAATGGAGCTCATAGGCTTGTCTCTGGGAAGTGTTGTGTAAGTTTCCCTTGAGGATCAGGACTGAGAGATTGGAGAGAGAGTGGCCCTCCTGTGAGAAATGTGCCCCCACCGGTAATTGTGTGCATTCATTCTGGTGCGCAGTTGTTGTTTGGTCTCTCCTACATATCTTCCATCAGGGCATTTGGTGCATTGGATGAGGTATATTACATTTCTGGAGGTGCAGCTGTAAGATCCTGGGATGCTGATGGCTCTGTTGTGGGGTGTAATAATAGTGGGGGTGGTGGAGATGTGTTGGCAGGTTTTGCATTTCTTGTCCTGGCACGGTCTGGATCCTTTTGGTGTGTTCTGGGCTTGAGGAAGTTTGTTTCTGGTGATGAGGTTGGCGAGGTTCGGTGCTTGTCTGAAGGCTAGGATGGGTGGCTCTGGGAAGATCTTTTTAAGAATAGGGTCTCTTTCTAATATGGGTTGCAATATTTTGAGGATTTTCCGTACAGGTTCAAGGGATGGGTGATAGGTCATAACCAGCAGTGTGCGATTTGTGGGTGTTTTTCTTCTGTACTGCAGCAGTTCTTCACGTGGTATCCAGGTGGCTCTTTCAAACGTGCGATCTACCTCTCTGGAGGAGTGTCCTTGCTGGGTGAAAGCCTTTTTAAGATTGGTGAGGTGGCAATCCCGGGTGTTCTCTTCAGTACAGATGCAGTGGTATCTGAGGGCTTGGCTGTATATCAAAGCTTTTTTGGTGTGTTTCGGGTGATTGCTGGTTCTGTGCAGATATGTATGTTAGTCTGTGGGTTTCTTGTATACTGTGGTCTGTATTTTACCCTTCTGGATACTGATCCTTGTGTCTAAAAAGGGGATGTTGGTGTTGGAGTATTCTAAAGAAAGTCGGATGGAGGGATGGTGACTGTTGAATTTCTGGTGGAACTCAAGGTAACGTCCATGGTGGCTAGAAGTGTGTTGCTGGGAAGGTGGTCTATGTTTTTAAGTTTCCGTAGCAAGTCTGTAGTGTCTTGGACAAAACTTGCTCTGTGGGTGACAAGCGGTTTTAGGATGGATTCAACAAAACCTGATATTTCCTCAGTTAGGGTCCCATGGTTGGATATGACAGGTCTGCCAGGGTTCCCTTGTTTGTGGATTTTAGGGAGCATGTAAAAAGTCCCCGGGTTAGGTAGCGGGGGGATCAAGGTCTGTAGTTTTTCTTGTAATCTTGATGGAAATGATTTGATGGTATTGTTGAGTTTTTTGGTGAAAAGGGGAGTAGGATCTTGTCTGGGTTATGCATTCCAGCTATGTAAATTAGATTATCAAGTGTAATAATCTGTGCATCTGAATTAAAGCCTATCATTCACAATGCCACTGAAGCTTGATTTCAAGTCAAATACCACTTTAAATACAGAGTGGCAACAGTGTATGCTGGTCCAAAGAGATCTGTAAAAAATATTCAGATTTGTTTTTTACACATCTTTGTGAACAAAGATACACCCTGTGTGGTACCAGTTATCCATACAATAAGAGGGAAGGTTTTGAAATATCCCATCATAATACAGCAAGGAATTCAGTGCATGAACAGATAACTGCAGAGGGGAATAATACTCAAACTGAAGAGTGCTGTTGAAAATCAGTTCCATCTTTATGATAGCTAACTGTGCCGACAAAAGACTGATGGAGCTCTATCTATGATAGGGAATATCAAAGGAGTTGTTACTCTGGTGAAACAGTTCACTGAGGTTCATGGCTATCATTCAGCATCACTGACTTCTATACATCAGTGATTATTATCTAGAGAATTGCTACAACTTAAGCATGTTATGTCCATTGTTGTGTCCATAATGATCAGTATCTATAATGACACACTTTTCAAGAACTTTCATACAGGGGAACAACTTCTCCATACCAGGAAATTTTCAGGATTTCAAAATATTCTGAGTTTTTCTGTTCTGCATAGAAGTGAAACCAAGGCCCTCTACCATTTCTTGAGGAGAAAAAGATAAAGACCTTCACATACCACAGAAGAGTCAGTCTCTCACATTCCAGGCAAGTATTCTAATGACTGGACTATGGGGACTGTTTCTGGCTCCCACAGGAGAGATTTAGATTTTAGAGAAAGTGGTTGTGGGTACTAACCTAGGGTGAAGGGGAGTAGAAGAGCAGGGACCTGAAGATGGGGCTCCTACATTCCAGAAGAGGATCCTGCTCAGAAGGCGGTGGCTGTTCTGGGATGACAGGTACATGCATGTGTGTACAGGCACAGTGAGAACTCTTTCTTGATGAACATTTTGTCAAAACTGGTATGGTTTCAACAAATCAAATATTTTTCACTGAATAGTTCCCAGTGGGCTCTACAGTGGGATGCAGCCTACAAAGACTCTCCTCTACCAGAAATTTTTGGCAGGCCAGGGGAGGAACATACTGGAGCAATCTGCAGCACTGCAAAGTGAAATCAAAACTTTCATTCAGGAACTGCGACAAGACCACACCCATCCTAGAAAGTCAAAAGAGGCTCAACAACTTGGTTTTTTGATAGTGTGATATTTTGATTTTAAATATCATTTATATTAAATTAGCTTTCAGCTTAAAAAAAAAGAACCACCTCCTTGCTGTGAATTTTGAAAATTCTCAGCTATTCAATAGAGATCTTTGCAATTTTCTAACTTGTTTAAACTTTTTTCTAGAATGACCTGAGAAAATAATTCTCTCTCAACTATAAAGTTATCCGGTAAAAAAAAATTACCAAACAAAACTTGTTACTTGCATATTCCCTGGACCGCCATGACTACAGCACCACTACAACTCTGCTAAAAAAAGGTTAATGTACTTTATTAAGGAACTTCTAATCTCCATAAATTACAATTACGAGCTACTATTTGAATTGAATTGTTCTCTGTTCAATTCACTCTTGATCCAGATAATGTTGAATGAGATACCACACTTGAGTGAGATGAATTGGACTACTCCACAATACTGACAGCAAAGCACCATAAATCACTTTTGTTAGGACTTTTGCAGTTGCTTGAATAAGTCCAAATATGATAACCTTTAACAAGATGTTCTTAAAATACAGCATTTGTGTAGAAATACATTTACGTGTCAGCAAACTGTCTTCGTAATTAACAAGTTCAAACTAAGCTGACTCACCAGCAAAATTTCTGAAGACACCAAACTGCTACTACCAGCCTAGAACTACCAACTGGCTACCACAAAAATGTGCAACAGGTCTCACTGATAAAGCTACTGATCTCTGCACTTCTGAACCAGTGTTTTCCTGGAAGGTAGCAAAATTACTCAGTACACAACTGCATGAACCAATTTATAGCACACAAATGAAATGCAACACATAGAGAAATTTTGCTTCTTCAGATCATGCTGGCACCTGAAAAACAGTTGGCACTTGAACATGGAAGTATTTAGTTACACCTGTTACCAAATAAAAGACATAGGAGCCTCTATTGTTGCTTCCAGAAAAGGAGAAGAGGAATGTGGAGTAACTGTTACTGGTTTTGTGCAGGTATTGCGGGAACATTTCAATTGAAATAAAGGCTTCATTCTCAGATGGAGAAACTGACTCCCAGCTGGAGAGAGCTGTTGTGCCAACACAGTTTTCCCAGAAAGAAATGAAGAATGAGGAAGTGCTCAACAATTCAAAGCCACATATATCTCTTTCTCATGAAAAAGGTTAACTTTCTTCCTTTAACCAAAACTGTGGTCAGACCCCAGCAGACAGGTCTCCCTAGCCTTTCAGCACTTTTAAAGGAGAAGAGCAAAGGCCTAAAGTTACTGGAGGAACAGCCGGATGTAAGTAGGCAACAACACTGGTGTAGACGTACAGGTAGGGTGGCCATCATAGAGGACATTCCAGTTTTCTGCTACTCTGTTTTCTGCTACTTAGTCTAGACAACTGGACTGTCCTCTATGATGGCCACCCTACGTACAGGTAGGGCAGAAAAGGTGGTGGAAACTACACAGGCAGTTGTCTTCACTGAAACTGGCAGCTGCTTGGGCAGGGAGATTGTAAAGGGAGGTAGAATTCAAACAGAATGGGACTGTGAAACTTTAAGGTGACAGGGGAGCCTGGAAAAGACGGGAATCAGTAGTAGTCTTTGGGACAGACCCCAGTGTTTTCTTTTGCAGGTTGGATGAGGACAGGAAGGGCAGAAGAGCCTGAGACAGGTTCCCCATTCTGCTTCCCTTGTGTCCCTTCCATTAGTCCTCTCAGACACCCTCTGTTTTCCATCTGCAAAGCAAGAAGCACTTCACAATGAAGTGTTCTTGTCCTCCCTGAGAGCAAAGAACTCTGGACAGAGCATGCCTCTCCATCTGCCTACGGATGACTCAAGCCATGGGAACATGCAACAAAGGACTCCGACGTGTGACTACATCATCCCAATTAAAGGGGGCGTTTTATTTAAAATCCAAAGCCTATCGTTAAAGAGGCTCTCTCACTGAATTCGATTCCCTGGTTTCGCAATCCGCAATGGCTTTTCCCTCAACATTCACGATTATCCTGTTCCAGATTGCAAAACTGCTCCACAGATTTCCCATGGCGAGCAAGCCGCCTTGCCAAACAGGCTTCCTACTTTAAAGCACTATCAGCTGGGACATCTGGCACGACAGAGCAAAAGTGCAGTCACATTATTTGGCTGGTTCAGGGGTCCCTGCCCAAGGTCTCAAATTGTGCCCCACATGCTTCACCCATACCCATGCATCTGCTCCCTGCCCCTCTGCTCCCCACATGAGAGTATCCTCCCTTCCTATCAGTGGCTCTCAACTGTATTTAGATTCAAGGTGCCCATCACTAGACTCAAGTTGGCTCTTGGAAAATGGCAGCTTGTTTTCTGTGTTTTCTGACAGAGGAAATAAAAGAACAGTATGAAGGGTCCCGTGGGCGCTGTGACTTGCTGGCCCTTAAGTGAGAGGAGCTTTCCTTCCTCCTCAGGCCCCAGGCGGCCGGGAACAACACGTCACCTCACGGCACTCGAGTATTAAATTATTGTATTGGAAGCTCAAAATTATCATATTTGCTGAAAAGCTGCCCCACACTGAAAAAAATATGCAAATAAGTCTGCCAGTAAGTCTTATTTACCTTGTACTGCTCACTGTAACTTGCCAGTGCTCAAGTGAGAATTGGACCTCAAAGTTGATTCATTTCTTTCGAGGCCAGTAGGCATAGAAAAGAACTGACAGCAAGCCCAAAACCTAGCTAAGGCCCTCTGGAAATGATTTGGGGTTTGCAAGTGGTGCAGCAATCAGTTGCTTAAAAATTATGATAGGTTTTGGGCAGACAAGGGTGCTTGGGTGAATTTGATATCTTTTATTAGACCAGCCCAAATAGTTGGAGAATATTTATTAAGCAAGCTTTCGGGTTCAAAAACCCTTCGTCAGGCTAAGGAAGTTTCAGCAGTTGGTGTGTGCTCTTCCTGGATGGAATGAAAAGTAAATGGTAGCTTTTGGGCACTTTTACTGTCATTGGCCGGACACCGTGCAAGGGTCGAAGTTATTGTACAAATCGGTAACGGTCGTACACCGAGAAACACTTCCTACCCTCCTGCTTCGCGGGAGCGGAGGCCCCAAACTGGGACAGCTCCACCAGCCCCGCCAAGCCGCGCAGCCCGCGTCAACTTCCAACCACCGAGCTGCCGCGGTGTCTGTGATTGGCCGAGCCGGGCAGGGCGCGGGCACAGCCGCCACTGCGGAGAGGAAGGGGCTGCAGCGCCTGCGCAGTGCTTCCCTCAGCACGTACACGCGCACACCGCGTCCCCCGGCGAGGGCTGGGCTTGTACCTGTCACGTGACAGCAGCAGGCACAAGTGCACACCGCGCTCCCGGGGGGATTGACGGGGTTGTACCTGTTACTGTCACGTGACGACAGGAACGGGCTCCCCTCCCCCCAGGGGCGGGGCGGGGCGAGGCGGGGCCGCGTCGCTCTGCCGTCACGTGACTGCGGCCGGGCCTGGGCGGGGCGCTGGGCTCAGTCCGGCCGGGCGCGGGGGCCGGGGCTGGGG